TAGAGGAGGACGGCCCAAAGCCCTCTGGACGAAGTATAATGCGATTACTTGGTGGCATAGCGCGAGAGGCAGCCCATTCAGGTACACTCATCATCAGTACCTGCTTGTGTTTTGGTAACCCGCTCTTGTTGTGTCTGTTTGTATTCTGTTCAACCACTCTTCATCTGAAGGCGTGCGTTGATAAGTTGGGAATAGCTGTGACGAGATGAATTTTGACTTTGGTGGTGCAACACCGCTTGCGGGTACCTCTCGGCTGATTCCTTCCAGCATTTGGTGGTCTCATTACTGCTCGTCCTCCAGAGTTGCACTCATTCTCTAAATGCCCATTCCTCCCGCAACGAGTGCAGTGTTTTCCTCCCACCAGCTGGGGACATGACGAACGGTAATGTGGCCCTCCACACTGGAAACAAGTGACGTTTCCCTGCTGCCCAGACTGTCCGGCAGGAACCAGTGCTTGCGACCCGCTTGCATTGGCTGGTTGATTTGGACGAGCGTAAGGGGATCTCCTCTGATTGACATTGCTTCTGGATACGATTGGTCCCCTTACCACCTATTGTTGCTTCTTGTGCCGTTCAGCTTCTGCCATGTTCTTCTCTAACACCTTGGCCCTCTCAACCATGGCAGGAAACGTTCGAATGCACAAGCTGGAAATTAATACTTTCAGGTCACTTCGCAAACCATTCTCAAACTTCCTACACTGCCACTCTTCACTGGTGGCCATCGTGTTGAATCTGACGAGATGTTTGAACTTATTAGTGTATTCTGAAACGGACATACCCCCCTGGACCAGCTGCAGAAATTCTACTTCCTTGGCAAAGCGAACGCTATCTAGGAAATATTCCTCATAAAACTTGCTCCGAAATACTTCCCAGGTGATGGGATTTTGAGCGTCCGTTAAAATTGCCCTCATGCTCGCCCACCAGTGGCTTGCTTCTCCAGTCAATAGATACTCTGCGAACGCCAATCTGGTCTCATCTGGGCACCTCTTGGCGTTGAAAATCCTCTCCATGTCCCTCAGCCACTGATCTGCCTCATCAGGGAGGCATTTCCCACTGAACTTTGCCGGATGGTGTTGCAAAAAGCTCTCCAAACTCCATTCGGTTGGAGGGTTAGCATTTGAAGAGGAGGATCCAGGCGTACCTCTGGTGGCAGCAATGAGATCCATTAACTGCCTTTGAGTAGCCTCAGAATTCTCACGTGCGGCCTCTAGACTACGTAGAGCAGCTGCGTTCTGCTCCATTAAGGTGGTGTTTTGTTGCTGGAGTCTTTCAATAACCGTCTCCAACAACCTAGAGTTGTTGGAAGCATCAGGTTCGTTGGGTTGCGGTGGAGGAGGGAGTCTAGGCGCCATTTGTTCTCTGGACCAGAGAAAACGAACGTTAGTAATGTTCAAGAGTTAAAAACGATAACTCATTAAACACATAATAAGTACACAGCAAAAACACAGTGCACTCATAACCTACAGGGTCCTTTAAGAGAACAAAACTGCTCTGATACCACTAATGTAACATCCCAAAATACAGTAATTACTATAAATTAGAATTAATTACAATTAACAGTAATTCAATGCAGTCTTTATATTAATAAACAAAGTTCAAAAGCCGAACGACTTAAGTACAGAACCACTATACAAGACACGAAATTAATACAGTTTTAGGACGAACGGTCTTACAAAAAATTAAATAACCGAACGTCAAATTTAAAAACGAACGTCTAAAACTAAAAGGAAAGACGGACGTCCTACTGCTCCGCTTTCACTTCAACTTCGACTAAGTTATCCTCCTCGATGGCATCTTCCAGAGTTGCCTCGCCTTCTGCTCACATCCACACGGATGATCATTGCAAGACAGGACGAACGTACATAGACAATTCGACAACACAAGGAAAATGAAAGGGTAAGCTTATATAATTTAATTTATACAATCAACATATACATTTAACATTACAATTCACACACAGCATGTAACTTAACATAGATTTATATATATACTAGACAGACCGTCCGGACTGTATGAATCTGTGTAGCTACAGGCGTCCTTGCACCCGAGTGGTGTAGTAACTCGGATACACTCAACAGCTGCCACTCGAGGTTAGTCTGTTCTTACGTCGCCCATGTTAACTTATGGACTAAGGACCTCCTGCCATTCCCACACATGAACTACTCTCCTCTACGTGAAGATGAGTATCACGGAATATCAGGATGGACCAAGTCAACATTAGCAATAACCACAGTCATACTTTACCAAGTTTCATAATCAACATATATGAGTCGTTCCTCCCTGGAACGCTCGTCCAAAATCCATAATTGTATAATCGTTCCATATAATGTTCACCTTTTAATTCTTCATAGCTTATTATCATTTTCATCATTCGTTTCAAATACCCAAAATAACGAACGTTCAACCCTTTGAAGGATGAGGACGAACGTGAACAGCGAGACCGAGAAGTACTCGTCGCCAATCAGAATAACTCGACATATGATTAGTTGACGAACGTTACTACTACTCAATTCAGTTGAATGAAATGACTCTAGAATGATACCATCAATATTCAAAATATTCTAAGTCCCAAGAGGTTAAGCAGAATCCAATCGGATGAAGATACAACAAGATGAGGAATTGACTACACTGTGAGCCATTAGTTTAAAGGAGTCGATTGCCAGTCAATGACCGAACGCGACAATATACTTTTACTAAGTATTTGGACGAACGCTAGTTACGTCCGTTAATAAAATCCAAGGTAAAGACGAGCGTTCGGTATAAGACCGAACACTACATTAGAATGAACGCTGGGTAGATGACCGAGCACCATTTAGAACGAACGCTTGGTACAAGACCGTGCGCTATTTAGGACGAACGTTTGGTATAAGACCGAGCGTTACTTATTTTAAGGTGTAATATAATATTATTTGATTTAAGGTATACGACATCTCTATGCTAAGCCGAACGCTCAAACAGTAATTCAAATGGGGACGCTCGTTCTCGATCAGAGTTCTTCCCAAATGAAAGAATTCCATTCTAAGTCATTTTTAGGGAAACCGAACGGTATAAGACCGTACGATGACGAGCGTAATTTATCATATTCAGGATTTCGTATTTCAAATTTTAAACTTAAGTTCCAACATACCAGTGCATACTTTATACTTCACCTCAAAATACAATTCACAAACTTTATAACATTTACGTTAATAATTCATATTCTCATTGATAAATATCCATCATCATCATACAGATTAATCAACATACACCATAATTATTCAGGTTCACATTCATACATTGCAACCATCATCCATCATGCATTCATACTTATACTAGATACATACATTTACTCAACATGCAATCATTTTCAGCAAACATACAACACCATACGAATTAAATCAATAAGCTTCCCTTACCCGGATTCGTAAACAGCTTGTCCTAGACGCAAAGTTTGGCTTCGTCCAACTAATGTTTTTCTACCCTCAATGTCACTTGACTTTTCCAAAACAATTCTAGCCACAGGAAAAACGAAATACTTAGACTACACACTTGCATGCAGCCAAAACTTAGTTTTTCAGGAAACCCTAGAACGAACTATTAAAGGAGACTTACCAGTTTCAGCCTTTGAAACTGTTCGGTCCAGCTTGTAGCTCACGGTTCCGCGAACGTCCCTACGGTCTCTGAAAGTTGATCGGAGAAGATGGTGGTGAGTTTCAGTAGAAAGAAGGTGAAGGTTTCTAGAGAGAAGGTGGAGAAAATGAAGGGTTGGGTTCTGAGGAAGAAGATGAGTGCGCGCAGGTGAGAGAGAGAGTTTTTCAAAAACTTAGTTTTGTTAATTCCACGCCCAAACGGACGAGCGTCTCCTCTGCTGACACCTGCACCCCCACTTCTGATTTCAGAAGCTTCTAACGTGATAGGTGGCGCTCGTGCATGTGGTGCAAAGTGCGTTTTTAATTACTCTGAACCATTGACGTGAGTGCATTAACTTGATGTGACAGAGAGTTTCAGTGTTAATTATCTAGGGCCTCACA